TATAATCACTGTTATCGAATCGCGCGAAATGCATGAAATTTTTTGGCTTGAGCATAGAGATATATCTCCTCTATAAATAAAACAAGTGATTGATTCGATTCATTCGCCAATAAACGTTTAATCTTCACTAGAGCAATACCCTTGCACAACGTGGAGAGTATCCTTAAGGGTAATAAACTGAGTACTTATAAAAGCCAGTTCACAGAACCTGAAAATGCTGGAGTTCTTTCTAGGGATCTGGACTCTAGTTCTATGTACCCTAGTTCTGCCAGTACATCTGCCATTTTGCGAGACCTAGGAATAAATTGACTCAAGTGGCAAGTGCCACTTGGCACTTGAAGAAGTGGTCCCATTTATTTTCCGTGGATTTTACATATTACAAGTGTTATATAAAACTAATGGGACGTGCTTTCTACTCAGAGAGTAGATGACTCTACACAGCAACTAGCACTGAAACACGGTGGGTTATTTATGAGTAAAAAAACTAGTTAGAATAATGTACGTCTCCAAAATACGAAAAACTGTGACTGGCTGGCGGCGGCGTCTCCAAAGTAGTGCAGACGCCGTGACTTCCAGTCAATGTGAGAGTTTACTCAACGAAATCACGTACTCGGCTACTTTTAATACACTATTATACGAACATAAGAATTACCTTTTCATAAATGTTCCCACCGAATGTTGCAGATATTCCACGGGTGGCATGAATCGGATCAGCTTTGTTGGCGTGGAAATTTTACACGTCACACACTTCTAGGGCTGATGGTTGCCGGATGCGAACGGCCTAGTACGAATGATGTGATTGGCTGTGGCGCGTTGCGCTAGACATTTTGTCACACCCGTTTCCATTTGGTGATGCCAGTTGTTATAATTTTAGTATTTTAATTTATTATAAATTGATACTTGTTTGTATTATTGTTGAATACATTTGAATTAATATTTTTATATATACTTATTCTATTTCTTGATTAGACAATAAATATTTACCTTTCCGTATATAATTATCAGCATAAAATTGCCATAGACAACGTCTCTAGTTAGCTTTATGAATTTATAATTATATAGCCCGACTATATATATATATACCTACTATTACAGGGGCGGATCCAGGGCTAAAGCTAGACAGTATTTTTCCAGATTTTAAGGGCACATCCCCCAAAAAGGGCACACCACCCCACCGTGGGCGCCGTTAGGCGCGGAAGCACATGGCGGGGGGTCTGGGGGCCCCTGGGGGACCTCCAACAGGAAATTTCAAAATTTCAAGGGTCCCTGCATGGGCACAAAAATCAGCACCATTTGAGCCCATTTAGTCAAGCAGCAATAGCTAAAAACCATATATGGAATTTTATTTCTGCTTCATTTTGCCTGCGCTTTGCATACCAGCAATTAATGCAGCATGATTCAAGCACCTCCCTTCTTTTTCAGATATCAAAGCTAGTTTTTAATTGTTACCATGTAAAATTTTGATTTCCTTTCAATGAATCAGAAGAAAAAGAAAACAAATAAAGAATATAGCCAAATTCCATCAAATTGTTTTCTGTATTTTTTAGCGCAAAATTTCGAAGGGCACTTTGAAATCTAGACCATATTTCCCAATACGGCAAATACGGTCTGAATCCGCCCCTGCTATTATATATACCGACTATTATAATTATATACCTTATAATTATATAGGTATAGACGTGCATAATACATTTCGGTGTTTCTGCATTTACAACTACGTGGGATGATCTGTGATACTAATAGAGCACACTGTCTAAATCTTAAAATTTATAAAAGTTGGCCGCAAACTCAACCGATATCAAAGAAACGACAAACACGAGCTATGAGTATTCTTACATTAATTCCATACAGGCGCTTGTGGTACGTTTGCCGGCGGCATGTTCGTATCTGTTAATCTCCAGAGACGCGCAAAACGCAAGATAATAGACTTGTTTACAATAAAGTTCGATGGGACATTTTCTAGGTCGCATTAGTTTGTAAACCGGTTGTATTGTGCAGTGGCAATTATATATAGCAGGTGTAGATGTTTCGGGAACGTAGTTTCGGAGAAGGGCAGCTAGACATAACCTGTAATTGCGAGATATCGCGTAATAGAACGAGTCGAATGCATTGCTCTCTCTCTCTCTCTCTCTCTCACACACATACACACACGCGCGCACGCACACACGCGCACACACGCACACACGCACACACGCACACACTCGCACACACACACACACACACACACACACACACACACACACACACACCACACGCACACGCACACGCACACACACACACACGACAACACACACACACCACACAACACACACACACACACACACGCACTCTTCTCTCTCTCTCTCTCTCTCTCTCTCTCTCTCTCTCTCTCTCTCTCTCGTCTCTCTCTCTCTCTTTCTGTGTATGTGTCTCTCGCTCTCCATTTTTCGCGTGGCGCCGTGGCGTCGTGAGTTATGTATGTTCGACCATATCTCCCTTTCCTTCCTTCCTCTGGTCTCCTTTCCTAGTTGGATGGCGACATCTACATCCTATAAGCAATATATTTATCTGTATGCGCATGCGTGTTAAAATTCATAACCACTATCAGAAAGAGCATAATAATATATACTATTTGACACAAAAATAGATTGCAAAACACACATAGTTGGGGGAGAGGGCGATCACACGCAAAGCTGACCCCTGGATCATCACCTACCATAATGCCGACCATTATTATATAGATATATATATATATATATATACCTTGAGTGTATGTTGAGTGGTGTTGAGTGAACGACAGCAAATATAATACACAGTAAAGCGTAGACTGTTGTACATAAGCAAAGCACCACATTTATTAGACCATTCTGAATTCTATGTTCATAACGAATAGATAAAAACGGTCGTTCGAAATTGAATTTGTCTTAGCTTGGAAGTGATTGCAAGTTAGCATAAACAGCAGAATTACAGGCCATGTATAATCGTCAAGTGATATAGTACATACACAGGCACACGTAGGCGTTATATGCCTCTATAGTGCCATCACTTAATTACTGTCCGAACCAAAACATATTCGCGTATTTATTAAAATACTCAAATTCGTCAGTAAACTCACATCAAATCGCATCTCGCCATAGAATTGAATAAAGGTGAATTCCAAGCAATACTGTAGTTGGCATATTACACTTATACACAATATCAATTCCAATTGCTACAATGCCAGACAAGTAATAACATTTGGTAATGCTAGTTACGTATTTAGGTGGAAATAACACATTTTTCATCGAGTTCATAAGTGTTTAGCACGAATCGGCGAAAGTTGACACAGGAAAACGTACATAGAGCTCAACTCTGTAACATCACAACGTCTGTACGCATCTTTAAGGACTAGAAGCAGACTCCACTATCAATGTGCCAATTTTCGAAATCGTTTTAAAATGTAACCGAGAAGTTCTGTGTTAATTTGTTATTTTCACTAAAACGTCTTGCTCTTGGAAAGTTTATGAAGCCAAGGCACTACGATATTAGGTAGATGCGATTCATTTCATCCTTAACTGCGTGAGCTTATCATTAGCTAAAATACTGTTGCAACGTTCAGTATGTTAGATATAACAAATACATTTTTTACTTCGCATATTCCATAAGATAAACTGTGTACTCCGTTATAGTACACCATGCATTTATAACCTTCCGCTTAAAATTCAACAGAGGGATTAACCCCCACAAAAATGTTTACGCGTGATAGATCTGGAATGTTAACATACACCAACTTAATGCGCAACACGTCCGCAAAGTTCTAATCGTTTTAAAATCAATTTACTTCGGAAAAAAATTCCCAAACGATTTGAAAATACCATACCAGCATCGCAGCATCCCTGCCGCGGGCCGCCATCACCCCCCCCCTCCCACAACCACGGGCTCCCACCGCCCGTTTTACAGAGCTCTGTGCTGAGCTATTACAGGAATAAGGGTGTAAGTACGAGCATATGTATCGTATGAACATATGTACGGATATATGCATGAACACACGTGAGATATACACATGTTCAAAGTACGAAGAGTTGTGAAGCTTTTAATTACGTATATATATATCAGGAGTTAATGAGACAAATTTGTCTCATTAACTCCTGATATATATATATATATTCATGTATAAGATAAGTGAACATATGTAAACTCACCTGAGTATATATTTGTTCACGCTAGATAAATGCACATATGTGCACTATATATCTGTTCATGTTCGACACGATAACGTAGCCCTGACTGCATGAGCACAGTCCCCCTTCTCTACATCTGTGAGGGGGCCGTTGGCAGAAACATGTCATTCTTAGCATTACTCGTACTCATAGTTTCACGACATCTCTGACAAAGTGCCCCAGGTCTACATGAACGTTACGTGTGTAATGTCGTCCGATCGCCTGCGACTTACACTGAGCAGCCTGCGAACCAGTCATCCTTTGGCGGATCGAAGTGTCTTCATATTATTTTCGTGAAAAAAGGACAACTAAAAGGAATCACAGCAGAGGTGCCCTCGTGTGGCAGCTGCCTTCATAATGCACTCGCTTTTCAGTCGTTTACCGTTCCAATTACGAGGTTAAGTAAACAGTGCGCCAGGGGAGTCACCATAAACTGTCGCGATAAAAATGCTCAAAAATTAGTACTTCTAATCTTAATTTATGATCTCTTTAATCAAGTGTGGATGTCTCTGCATTAATAATATACTGATAGATCAATTCGGCTGACAAGGAGACAAGCTTCCAGTCTTCACTGATCGGAGAAACGTTCAAATGATAAATCCACTAATCTGCTTCGGTAAAACAAAAATCAATTCACTCACGAAATAATCTCCACAAAAAACAACAACTGTACACCTGTTATCACAGCAAATCATTCATCCTTAGCAATACGTGATCACACCAAAGCACCTGTACTATAAGTGTGGTTTCCTGCGATTGTATGCACCCTACTGCCATCCATCTACCTAGACTAATATTGTAACTATCATAAATGATCTATCCATCTGAGCGAGATGACCATGTCACCTTGGGATATTGTTTCCAGGTCTGGCAAGCTGGGCCAGTTTGTACATGATTGCCACGCGTGCACGCTAAAATGTCAACTTTGCGGCACTTCGGAACTAAGCATTGTTGTTTAGATTGCCCCTATCGCAACACCGATTGGTTAAAGCTACACATACGTCACTCCAGGTGGATCAATTTATCATTATGAATAATAGTCTACCTGTTTCGTAGTCTAACGTCACAATAAATATACTTAACAACTGAATTCTTTTTTACTCTGGCCAAAGACTTGCAAATTTACCACGAGGAAGAATACACATTTATGTAATCGGTTTTACTTTTCACTGTCATTGCGGTGGCCAAGTCAAGTTGTTTGATGGGATGCATAATTCCTACTGCACAATACCTAGTAGAATACCAAAAATTGCACGAAGCAACCTGTCCATATGGTTAGAAAATATTATAACAAGTTTTAATAATACTGGCCTTTTTTCTGAATTTTCTAAGTGGCAATAATGGCTCAGTCATGTATACTGCCTCGATTCAAATGCGAGAAATTGAGGTGATTGATCGGTGCAATTTACTATCTACAGGATAAAAAGCGCGAATAAAAATAAATAAATTATGCACAACATACGCATAGATACACCTCCGATACAAAAAATTACATTACACTCGATAAAATCAAACGCTTCCTTCCATTGACTAATCAGCCGCATAGCAACTGCAAAAATATTTTACAAACTATTGACCTTTCTACCGGCATCTATCGGAGCAATTAGAATGACTTAATGATATCGTTAAAATTTCATACACGTAAATAAATACACGATACTAGCACACGTGTGAAATCATGTCTCGCGCGTATACCATCTGTACCTTTCATTGTCTAACTTGCAATGAAGCAATTATTGCATAAATTTAAAGACAATAAAAAATTTTACAAAAAAACGAGGATGCGAGGCAAACTCGAACGATTTAAACAAAAAATATCTTACAACTTCCTCTAACGCCAGCTTAACAATTATTTGCACGAACCCTTACTGTTTCGCACTAGCAGGGTCATATGGAAATTTCATTAGAACAAACCCGCACTCATCGGGGCCTGGCATGGTAAAGTATCCCGGGCCAGATCACCTAAATCTGCCAAGAGTACACGCCAGACAGATGGCAGCATTGGTGACATCATACTAGCTCTCGTTGTCGTGGTAACACTTCCGAACTCACGGTTCGCGTCATGGATCCTAGGCTGCTCAGCTGTATCTAAAACATAAAGATTGATTGCCGTTAGGGAAACAGGCGTCGAATTAAACATTGTTTAATGTTGGAAAGGCAAGTGTTGCCATCGTCATAATCAAAAATGTTAGGGAATGATTATACCAGCTATTGCTACGACAAGATTTCGATATTTTTAAAAAGCATTGCTAGGTCCCAAAAATGAAAGTTTCAATGACACTGTAGCTCACCTTAGGTGTGATAGAAGAGGGAGGGGGGATATATAAAGCAAGAGTATATATGGGAGAACTCCCATTATATAGCATATCTCCCATTATATAGCATATCTCCCATTATATACTCTTGATAATGATATATGCATAAGTTTTGATGAGAAAATAAATGTTTCAGATCTGAAAGTCTGAAATCTTGACAAGAGATAGTGCTACGCCTAAATGATCGCCATTTTGGTTTTTCAAATATCGCACAAATAAACACAATAAAATATTCCAGTCAAATTACTGTAACGAAGAATCTAAAACACAATATTACACGTATATAGGTATGATTGTAGAGTTGTTGACCAGTTAGACGAAATAAATGTAATAGGACGTTCTCATCTCTCCCATAGGAGTAACAACTGTTTTGGGGCTAGCCTTACACATTCACATACCAAAATTTAACAAAATCGAATGAATTTAGATGGCCATTTTCATTTTTGCCAAAAAGTGGGCGTGGCTCGAAAGTAGGTCGACTGGCGTGCTCCAAAATAGGAAGTTCAAATCTCTTCCATAAGAGTAACAACTGCATGCAATTTGAAACATGTGGGTCAAACGGTTCTTGAGTTATCGTTGACCGTAGGCAGACACTGAAATGCATAGTGAAATTGCCAAAATCTACCTAATTTGCATAATTAAAAAAAACATCAAAACCAGTTCTCATTCATTCACATACCAGAAATGAGCAAAACCCATTGAACCTGAACTGACTTGTGGCCATTTCCATTTTTGCCAAAAAGTGGACGTGGCTCGAAAAGTAGGTCGACTGGCGTTCTCCAAAATAGGACATTCAAACCTCTCCCATAGGAGTAACAACTATATGCAATTTGAAACATGTGGGTCAAACGGTTTTTGAGTTATCGTTGACCATAGCCAAATGTTGACGGACGGACGGACGGATGGAAGGACAGACGGACGACACCTCATGATAGCTCATCTTGACGATGTCAAGGAGAGCTAATGAGTAGTACAGGTGAGTAATGTGGTATCTGACAACTGGTTTCTATCTACCAAAGGTTGGTACATGCTCAATACAGTGTCAGGTTCGATTTGCTCAATGCCAAAATACTTTACAAATGTGTATAAAATATGTCCATAAAAAATGTATAGACACGTTGCAAATGCCTCAGAAGTCTTTAGTACGTGTACTTACACCTTCGTCCGTTTTGCTACCAGATGGGAGAACAGACAGACTACTTGCTCGTCTCATGCTATCGAAAAGAGACAGATGAGCAATTAGTTTAACATTCAACTCACTCAAGGGTGACATCACAGCAGCATAAAAACTTATGAACATTTTGGACATCGTACTGCGAGCATTACAGAATATTATTGTGCGGAAATTGTGTTCAAACAAATTTTACATCAAAAATGCCCATAGGATGAAATGGATAAGGAATAACTAGCAACGTTACATCATGCTACAATAAATGATTAAATTATAGGTATCCATTAAGGTTAATGTAGATTTTACAATCAATCGCATGTCAACACTGACATTAAACACGTGTAAGTAAATATTTGGTACATGTGCATATGACATCAGATAACAACCTAGCTGACGATGTAATGTAGTATTAGTAAACGTAGCATTGGTTTACAGAAGTGACAACGACAGTCACGTGTAAAAAACAAGTGCGCGCACCAATCTCAACAGCTACAACATGTAGGAAAACTGCAGTGCTTAAAACAGGGAACCTAAACAGAGAGAACAGTAAGCAGCACACAGTAAGCACGGTCGACGGTCCAACACACAGTTTGTGTTAAGGTGGCCATGGTTAGGTGGATCGTACAGTAATAACATGGTACCAGGACCTACATCTACAGAGGCCACTTAGCTCAGGTTGCTAATAACAGAGGAGCGGGGGAGGGGCACCACGACGCAGTAAGATGTCACACAAAATCCCCCCAGCATCCACACGACAACAACTGAAAAGAAAGGGTTAACGCCGACACGGGACGAGCACGACCAATCGCGGTGCAACAACCCCATCCCGCCGTGATAACGTGCGCACACACCCAAGCGCTGTACGGTCAGCACCCGGCAGCAGTCGCCAGGGGGCGCCGGCAGCCCACTCACCTGCTGAGGTCGCCCGTCGAGCCGAACTCTCCACGACCTTTCAGCTTCTGTATGAGCTTTGCGCTGCTGCGTCTGATGGAGGCGCGCAGTTGAGAGAACGAGCCGCTTCGCCTCAGCTTCTGAACATACGACACCGAGGCGATAGATCGACCGGCCGCCACACGAAAAGAAAAAAAAGAACAAACGAAACACGTCGAGCGGCGAGGCGTGCAACGGAAGAAAAAGCGCGAGCGTGCGCAGGGGGAGCGACGGTGCGGCCCCCGTGTGCACGCCCAACGTAAGAAACAATGCGATATAACGGCAGGCAGCAACGAAACCTACGGGCACACACAGACACAACACAGCACAAGGCGAATTAAACAGTAACACACGCAAATGATGCAAATTCGCACGAAAATCATAATCGCTATGGTAACCACTGTAATGTAACGTAAGAGACGCACGCTCGCTCCAAACATTCCCAAAATAACAGTGAAATAGCTGTGCCAAGAAGAGGACGACCAGCGCGTGAAAACTACGCACAAGACACGAAGCCAAGCTCTCAAAATAATCAACCGAAAATAAGGCAAGCAGTTTACGAACGTGACGGAGAAAAGAACTCACCTTCACCTGCCCACAGATGACGGCCGCTGGCAATTCCTGATTCCATTCATGATTACTACTTTCCTATTTTTACCTTCGACGTCGTTTAATCGGGCAGTCCCCAGGTTACGGAAATATCCAATCTCACAAAGCTACACTCCGTTGCATCAAATATTTATTGTATGTTTTATGCTTATTACCTATTAATATTTATGAGTTAATATTTACGGCCGCAACCCAGATACAGCTGAGCTCGTACACATGAATGGAATGACACTTTTCATTCCAATCATTTCCGCATTCCAAAACGATCCAGGTGTAAGCATATTAAAAAAATTATTTATCACGTTATCAGAAACAGATACTGTTCGTAACCTGGTACACACTAGTGCCCTTACTGCCTCTCTCGGCGGACAACGTAAGAGTAACCTACCTTCCTACCCCCTCCCCTCATCACCCCCTCCCTATATTGTGTAAGTCTACCTGGCTGTCCATCCTCTTCTGCTCTCCTGAATCTTCGAACAGACCAACCAGATATGCCTCACTAGATTCCTGTGGGATGGTGGGGGCAGGGGCCGGGGGCGGAGGCCGGTGGGGGAGGCACTATGACTCACCTCGTCTGCGTCGAGGGAGTGATGACTGCCGCCGCTGACGTCGGGCGACTCGCGTCGTCGTTCACGGTTCTCCGATCGTCGCTTCTGCTTCTCGCCGTCCAGGTGCTCCGACTTACTGCTGCTCCTCACCATGTCCAGCGCCTGCACACACCGCGGGGAGAGAGAGAGAGAGAGCAGTGAGATACCTCATCATCACTACACCACGAGAGAGGGGGGAGAGGGAGAGGGAGAGGGAGAGGGAGAGCAGTGAGATACCTCATCATCACTACACCACGAGAGAGGGAGGAGAGGGAGAGGGAGAGGGAGAGAGAGCAGTGAGATACCTCATCATCGCTACACCACGAGAGAGGGAGGAGAGGGAGAGAGAGGAGTGAGAGAGAGCAGTGAGATACCTCATCATCGCTACACCACGAGAGAGGGGAGAAGG